ACTTCACATAATCTGCCCTGCGCACAATAACGAACAGTCAAAAGCACACGGTCGGAATCGATAGGTGTGGTGGCGATCGCATACACTACGACGGTCAAGTCAGTGATCGATGATCGAAACAGTACTTGAATTGTGCAAGAGAGTAGGGAGGAGAATAATATTTCTTGTGCGTAGAGAGCTAAGTCTAATATTAGTTTATTACATTTATCTCTTATCAATCCTTGGGTATTTATAGACGAGGAGCACCGTTGGATGTGGAACACATGTATACATCTGAAGGTGTTAGACGTCTGCTCGTAGGTATCAATCAACCGCGTCTAGAGTAGGCGGGTAATTAATTCTTCTGCATTGAGTTGACATAAAATTGATGTCACATCAACTAGACCCATGAAGATGTCACATCAATTAATTCATGGGGATAGAGGATCTTGACACATATTCTGAAATTGCGGCGGAGGGATCTGTGAAGAGAGCACCTCGGAGTGTCCAATGCTTCGATTTCAAGGGGGCGCTTCAGTCACTTCAGTAGATTCAGTTTGTGACGTATGTGCCTTGTAGTGAGTCAAGTTGGAATTCGACCGAGGTTGACATCACTTCGGATCCACTTCGTAGGGACACGTGGCACCTCGTAGAGGAATGGATTTGACGTGCCGAAGTGATTTGGTGAGGAGCGTTGTGTATATCAATTCGTGTTTGCTCTGATTACACAACTTGGAAAACTCTGTAACAGGTTAGCAACTTCAAAATTAACAATGCAGAACGCACCGTGGCATTCTGATGTAAAAGAATTTCCAGAAACGTTAGCTCGAAAAAAGTATTAGATGTGTAAGGATTTTGTTGTATTAGCAATTTTTTAGACAAAAGAGCTAATATGAAAAGTTGTAAAAGTCAATGAGTCTGGAATGTTGTATGGATCAAATAGGTAACTTAGGATTCGAGTTTGGAACATGGATGAAAGTCATCGAATTTACGCTAGCCTGTCACCTGTCTGATGCTTAAGCAGAAAAAAAATAGAAACATCATCGTCCGCCTGTTGCCTAGCTCTCACTCGAGCGACACACCGGTCATTCGCCTGTCGCTAGCCTGGCACTTGAATGATGGTGTTACGCGTAAAATCCTAGTTCGCGTATTTTAGGAGTTTTATCTAACCTATGATACCTAATTGCCTTCTACTATTTATACTCTTGCCATAATATGTTTTTGGTGTGGTTGTTCATTACATTACTTTTCCATAACATCTTTTCAAGATTCAAGAACGCATTCAAGTTTTAGATTAATCATTTGATTCTTGAGATCATTCAACCACCCTTTGGGCAAAATATCAAATTTGCATAATCCAAAATACCTACTTCCTATGAACTTACAGAAGGGTAATTTCTCAATAGCTTTCATAGGTTGCCGAAAATTGAGGAAAGTTGGATCAGAAGCACGGGAAGAGTATAAGAATAAAGTGTTTTTGGCGATCCACGGAAGATAGACTATTCTAGACGATCGAGAACATGTATGAGTGAAACACGTTCCAGCAAGTTTTAGAGATTGCGGGAATTAGGTAAGCGAGTTTAGTCGATTTTCTAGGTTGGATCGTACTGTAAGTTCATCATTGTCTATAGTGGAGATTACTAGTTTGATCCCAGAGTTTTTACTGAGTAGGATTTTCTCGGTCAACAATTTTTGTGTTCTTTATTGCTTTTATATTGCAAATTGTGGTAGTTCAACATAGGATAAATTGATTTAATTGACTAAACATTTAGAACAATTAATAAGTGATTTGTTGCTATTAATTGATATTTAATTTTGTAACTTTCACCTATTCACCCCCTTTAAATGACTTTAGAGTCGAACTAGTAACTTTCAAGTGGTATCAGACCTTTTCAAGATGGTTTATGATCCATTTGGTACGTCTTCTGCTTTTTGTAGAATAAGAGGAAGCTAACTTAGGTCAACTTTTGCTTAAAAAAAAAGGCTCCTAACTAAACAAATGAAAAATAGCTTCTTAGTTTCTCATGGCTTTTCAAGTCCTACCAAACTCGTTATGATTTGATAAAAGTTTTCCATTTATCTGAATGAGAAATTGTTTTCTAGGGTGCATCCGTCTGCAAATATTGTTGGTTCGAATTGGATGAATATATCTACAATCATAATATTGTGAATGCATGCTGCTGGATGCCTTTCGAATGTGAAAATTACCCAAGGAAAGTGCAAGGAATTCAAAGATTAAAAATGCCAAACCCAGAAAAGTATTGTACACTTTCAACATCTGAGCAAAGCACAATTAAAAATAAAATTACAAGATAAGCAAAAAAGCAAGAAATTACCAATTCAATTCTTTTTTAGCTGCTCTTTCTGGGCTTGCTTTTTCTCCGAGCTCTGCTGCTTCTCCGTGGAGGCAGCTTTGACACTTGTGTTTCTTCAATCTGCAACTCTTCTTTTTTCTCCTCTTCTTCTTCTCCTTTAATAGTTTCTGCTTTCTTGGATTCTCCCTCTAAAACATCTTCATATTCTGCTGCTCCTTCTGTTGTTTTACTTTCCTCGATTTTTTCGACGATTTTTCTAGGCCTCCCTCTCTTTCTCTTCTGCTGTGGTTGGGGCTCTTTGACTACTGATGATTCTGCTATTGCCACTGATAACTTCTTCTTTCCCATCAATTAAAATCATACAAATTCTTCTTTATAAAAAGCTGCAACTAAACAACTTTTTTCATTTTTTTATAAACCACAAAACCAGATTCTATTTATTTCAGGAACAAGTGGGCTGTCTCTTCGGATTTTCCTATGAGCAGCCACTGAGAACCAAACATAAAACAATCATATCACAAACATTCAACTTTATACATAAAAAACTAAGCACCCTCTACAAATTCCCAAAAAAAAAGAAAAAAGAATATCCTCCGAATTGAACAGAACCATTTCCTAGAGAAAACCACTGAAAAGCAAGGTAAAACACATCTTTTTCCTTGCAATTAATTTTCAGATTCAATACATTTACCCAGTAATCTTCTGTTTAATGTTTAGCAGAGAAAAAGATCAGCAGGGGGAGTGGGGTGGAGCTGAAAAAATTGAGGTGGTGAATAGATAGTGATGATGATGATGAAAAATAAGAGAGAAACAAGGGGTGGCTAAGGCTATCCAGCTAAGAGGCTCAAGACTTTTTTCAGTTAATTTAGTGTATAGACTTGTTTTCTTTTGAAGAAAAGGATTTGTGTAGAGTTGAAGTAGGGGCAACGGAGCGTGTGGGGTTTCAGCTTTCACTTAGCCCTGTTTGTCTTTCATTAAATCATCGAAATTTTATTTTATTTATTTATTTATTTTTAATCATAAATTCACACAATAAAATATTTTGCAATTTTATTGTAAGCAAAAAACTAGAACGTGTCAAGTCATTTGAAATTATCATACCTATCTATCCCTTTGATCATTGGCTATCAAGATAGGGAAGAATTTGTGTGTTATCAATCAAAAGTGCTTGGTAGAATGTCAAGGGTGCCTATCTAGATGGCACGCATACTCAATTTTTATTTTTATTTTTAATCACATTTTTCAAAAAATTTATTATTTCAAAACTCTTTTTTCTAAAAAAAAAAATTTTTTCATTTAAGTTTAACATGTGCACAATTTATTTAAATTATTGATGATAGTTAAACTAGCGACTTTTGCATGTTACGATATTATGTTAAATCATTTATTCAAAATATTTTTATTAGGTCCATATTTTGTAGAAATTAAAATTTTAATTTTAATCTAAAAAATAGTAAACAAATAAATTTAATAATATGGTTCATGGAGCCCATAACTTTTTAATTATACATTTCATTAATTTTTATCAAAATTTACTAAAAAATTAATTTTTAACTCTACTAAACGGTGATTAAGTAACTATATTTTTAATTTTAATTAATGAAAAATGATTTTTAAACATTTATTTGCTTATAATTATATTTATGTAATTTCCTTTTTTGGGTATTCATTGATTTTATTAATAAACTGTGATTTGTTACTTGTGAGGGTCTTCTAAGTACAAATTGTGATTTGTGAGATCAAAAGAACAGAAGGAGGGGAAAGGTAAAATACACGAATTAATGTCAAGTTGAAGTTGATAAATTTTAATTTCCCAAAATTTGTAGTGGGAATAAAGCATTTAACTCAGGATTTGAAGAATGTCAATTGTGGATATTCAATATCTTAAAGTGCTTAAAGCATCAGAAATTCAAGGGATGAATAAGTTATTTTATTACGATAATAATTACTATAGTTATTAATTGTTATATTAATGTCAATAAGATATTAACATTAAATTTTACGTGGCACAATTAAGTGTGTATCACCTAATAACGTTATTTATTACGTCAAGCCAGTGAAATCATCGTTAAAAAACAAAACGTGAATGTACCATAACATTTAAGCCCAAACATTTGACCAAAACATTCTCATCTGAACATATTTAATCCCTAGCTTAATTACTCAGACTTCAATGCTCATCGACATAATTACTGAAAAGTTCAATGTCAATTAATTCAGGATATTCAAGATTTTGAAATTCCTTTAGTATATTTTTTGATCGAGTTGAAATTGTGTATTTATTTTTATCTTTTTTCTCAAGACGGCTTTCATGCACGACAACGAAAATGGTAGATGGTTCAAATGTTTTTTTATAGTTAACAAGCGAAAAATCTGTGTCATGTCCTAAATATATTTTCTTTGTTTTGTCAATTCATGTTCCGTGTACCGGAGGACCCAATCTCTAAAGTTCGTCTCAAGCCCTGAAAATCTCGAGTAATATCCTAAAAAACACTTATCATTCTTGATAAGCACTGCATAAGTCATCAAATAAGTTGAAGTCAATTTTTGAGATAAAAGTGCCCTGCTCACTCAAAATCTTGCATTAACAAGATTGCTGTGTGAAAGCAGCAACATGAAATCCTCTGCTCGTGTTTCCCCAGGAAAAAGCCTATAACATAAAAGGCCTGCTCAATAAAAGATTAAAATGGCTATGACAGAGAAACATTAGAAAGGATAAACTGCAGTTTCTTCCGCAAAAACATGATTCCAAGTCTTCAGGATACAACTTTGTTAATTTGTCTATTATTTCCACAAGATATTCTGCTCTATAATTAAGATTAATATAGCACGATTAGTTCAGTCGTATTATTTCAAACTTGTAGAGAAAATTTAACTGACTGGTGGAGCAAGGTACTCGCATTCGGGAGACACTTCAGCTCCTCCACAGCCATTGGATTGGGGCTTGTCGAAACCCCATAGCTTAGCAGCTTTTATATCGTCCTGCACCATTTGCCTTGAGAACTCCTCGTGGTCGTACTGCAGTCTAGCTTTACCCCCAAACTCAGCTGGGAGATTGTCTAAATCAAAATAGGATCTCATGAGTTCCACACTGTCTTTGTTCTTTGGGTAGACAAATTTCACCTTCTGAAATGTTTTTGCATCCAGAAAGTATTTGACAATCTGCAATACATTAACACATGTTAATTAGCATGGAGGAAAGAGTAGTTTTTCACCTAATAAGACATGGACAAAATTGCAGCATAAAGATGTAAAAGCTTTCTAATTGACCAAAACAATTTAATTACAGTAAGGATCTGATCCAACACCATCCCCTCCCTCACGGCAAAACCCACCAAGAGAAAGGTGATCCGAACAGTTAATGGCAGAAAACTTCAGTTACCTAGCCAGCATAATCCAAAGACAAAAAATAACACTTTATGCAAAGGCTGTTCGTCGGCCAGATATAGACAAAAACATTTCAAGGATTATAAAAGGCAAACCTTCCAAAATGCTTCAAATATACGCGGGGGGCTGTACAAAAACGCTATGGCTAGTCTTTCAGGGTAATAGTTTTGTAGTATATTGATACTATCTCGAGCAGATTTGATGGGAACATTGGTGCTTAAAGTCCATCCCGTGAAGTCTATCAACCATGCCATCTGTTCTTGACCTTCTGGAAGATTGAGTACGGCATTTTCTATTAGATAAACCAGATGTCTAATCTGGTTATCTAATGATGCTGTATTCTGCAAAGATATAACATATTTCATAATCTTTTCATCATCTGAAAAACAGAGTTGAGAATGAAAAATAAACTTATATACTACAATTTCAAGCTTCATTTAGATACCTGCATTCCCGGTCTTAGTATCAGAACAGTCCTTCCATGACGATCGTGAACATTTGCTCTGTACACCTTCCCCGTCTCACCTTCAATTGCAACTTCAGGCTAACAGGTCACGTGCATTTAGATCGTCAATATAACTTCAATGCAGTTTAAATATAAAATCATAGAGTGAATGACAATTAGGAGATATGCCGTAAAAGTTATATACCATCCGCAATAAAAACTAACAAATTGCAAAATGTAATCCAATAAAAATGAAATCTGAACATGAATAGTGGTCAACATAGTTCTGACCATTTTGTGTTCACAAGCAATCAAAAAACGATATCAACTCTCTTACCCAGAGGATTTCTTCAGGTTTATAGGTGGATCTCCATCTCAATGTCTCCTCCAACATCTTCTTTGACTTATCCACATTCCAGTTCCGGGCTTCCAAATATCTCTTCAAGCACGCCTCACTGCAATACTGCAAGCTGCGACCTGAAAGTGGTCCCAGAGCATCTTTAAGCTCATTGACCTGCATGCAGATCTTAATCAGATCATTTGCAAGAATTTGAACAGTAAGGAAGTCTTTCAAAAATCTAATGGCATTCATTACTTACTAGTTTAATAAAAAGTCGATGAAGGCTCAGAAATTTTGGCAATAGGTTAAGATAACGTACTGGCTAGAGGCTATAGCTTTTAAAATGTCCTTTTTATTTGCAAAATAATGGAGTTCACAAACTAACATAATTATCAGTCAGTAAATGTGGTGTCCATACAATTAAATGGAAATTAAGATTCCATCAACTTCTTTTTCAGTGGCTTCAACCGGCTAACGTGTAATCAAATCGATGTACTATAATTTTGTTGAAGAATCAGAAGATATTTACCTTGTGTTCATGCTGCAGCTCATCATTCTCCTGAACACCATGTGAATTACTCTTGCGCCGGAACATGGTAAATGCTAGTGCTAGTAACTAAGCTTACCTATGACAAAGAAAATTGTAGAAAACCATTTCAGTACCAATCTACTGCTCAAACGACTCTACGAAAAAATAAGTGGTAGAACAAAAGAAATAGTAAAAAACAATACTCAAAACATAAAAAAACAACCGGAAAGTGTATAGTGGAGTGGGAATATGGTCCAAATTATTTACTAGTACCGTTTGAATGCGCATTAATATGCAAAGCTAATTACAAAGTACAAATCTCTATAGAAAACTTATCAGTTGACTAATCGTCAGCATTATGCAGCATTGGCCCACACAAGGGTCACTATGCGGCATCAATCAACTCTCTGATGGCCCAAACCAGAACAACAAGGAAGCATGCAGAAGAAATATCCAAAATCTAGTTTATCTCTCTAAAGCTATCAACAGTACAACAAAACAGAAGACATTTCTCTTTTTCTTTTCCTTTTCAAAATCTAGTTTAATTGGCCTATAGTTTACTTTTGGAACTAGGAACTAAGAGTAACCCAATCTTTTTGCAGACTTCATATTATTCATTTCAGTCATTTTATTTTGGCATTTGTGGATATCTCAAACGCTAGTCAATATCAGGCACAATCACGTAAATCTCACCAATGCTAGCAAAAATGTTCCCATCAGGGCTATTGGCAACAAGCTTAATCCTGGAACTAGGTAAAAAAAATTAGATATTCATTCCTTTTAGGATGACCCTTAATATTTTCCACTCTAATACTATATTGTAGCTATAAAACTGCATTTCGGGGTTACCAACTTGAACAGACTACTTGGAATCTTTAAATTATAATCTATGCATATTTTTATTCATGGATATGGTTAAATTTAAGAACCTTCAATTTTTATTTCTTCATATTCCTAAAATTTACACATTGTTCAGCCCGCTCCCCAGGGTTGGTCCAAAGATAACGGCTCTGGTCATAAACTCAGAAACATCGAGATGAAATCCCTTCCCGCAGTTCCCCATCCTCCTTTCATAGTTCGGACCCAGAAGAAAAAAAAAAGAAGCTTTATATGTAATACGAACATTAACAGTATATGGCGTCTCAATAGTTCAAAAGCCAAAAGAGGGCATAAGAAACTATTTAAAAAGTCAGCATGAAGGATGGCGAACCACCAAGAGGGTCGAAGGAGGAGGAGGAGAGAAAAAATGAATAAATTTTTGATTCTTTACTAAACACACCATACGGATGAAAAATATACATTTAATGCAGATTCTCAGATTAAGAACTTTCAATTCCTCCCACCTCATCTGCTTAACATTCCAGTCCAGAAAGATCACATCTTGTCTTCAAGAAACCAAAAAAAATAATAATAAAAAATAAGAGAAAATGAAATAGCGGACACAATTTTGTCAATTGAATGTCCAAAAAACCCAGAAACAAGAACAGATCCAAGAAGCAGAATCCAGCACCGAAAACAGAATAAATGCCTAAAATCAAAACGTATAAAAATAGATAAAGATTACCTATCGGTTACCGACCAGAGAGAGAGCACTGTTTGTTCTTAATCTATAATAGAATGTCATGCAAAGTCTACCACAAACTGAACCAATTGACACGCAGAATAAATGCCTATTCACACACAGCGATATGTGTGTGTAGAGAGAGAGTAATTGAGCTCTCGATACTGTGTGTTATTCTTTATATTTTCTTTAAACTGCAATATCAACGATCCAGATATTTTCAAGGTCTCTTTACAGAGTTGAACGTATACTATACGCAGATTTTTTGCTAAAGTCACCTATACGTCCATTTTGTTGAAAATCACAGACGGCCACCTGGCCTTTGACTTCTTTATCCTTTTTGTAGTGGTGATTAATCACCATCAAAGAAAGAATCATCTTACTATTCTGATTAATTGATTCCACGCGTTTGATTGCCAGGTAAAGAATAATGTTAGTTGTAGTCGTTCACTGCAGCAATTGCCCTACGTCACCCATGACAGATAATTATTTGATGCGTACATCAATAAAAAAATTGCCACATTAATGTATCAAGTAACTACCTACCATGTATGTGTCACATAGGACGAATATCGAAATGAGCGACTACAAATATTACTATTCCTTTGAAAATATTGTTGTCATTTGTTGACGTAACAGATCTCAAACGTAACAGAAACGAGTTCACCTGATCCCTGAAAATTATGAATGTATTTAATTTAAATTATAAGTTCAAATTTAAAAGAGAATAAGATTGCCAAATATCTAATAAAAAGTTTTTCCTTTTAGTTAACCAAACACTTAAAACGGTTATATTTGTTTGACAATAGAAAGTTGTGACTCTAAAAGCAAACTAAAAGAAATTTATTTCTATCTTATTCGATAAATAATAATTAAAATAATATTTTTTTCGAGTCGAGAAAACCTCGTGCATCTAGAAAATGAGTCATAAAAAGCATATTGTGTTGTGTTTCCACTGGGAATTGCAATTGTCAAGGCTAATAGATAATGGTGATTATAAAAAGGTTAAACCCTAACTTTAAGGGTCTCCCATTGCTCCTATCCTAAAACATCGTAAGAAAGGTAAATCGCAGATTATGCCTCCAAGGATATAAGGTGGAAAGTTGCTTGTACACTTGCACTTACCCAAAAGCCAAATTCATATTTCAGAATTCGAACTCTTGACGCAGCAGCCTCAAGCAAAGCTGGATTTCTCCACTCTCCCCTTTTACCACTTGAAGATGTGTCCTGGGGGCATAGATAACGGTGATTATTGATTAGACAAAAGATGGAATATTGCCAGTTGTGGACCAGGCCAGACGGCTTAAATGAATAAACTTTAAGTGAAGGGTCCAGGGTGCTATACTGCCCTATAATTAAATTGCATTAAAAGTTCATAATTACTTGTTATCACATTTGGTCATCGATTTTTTTTAATTACAATTTTAATTTTAATTTTTTGTTAATTAACAGATCTTATCCTTGATGACGACTTTCAGAAAAAAAAATTGTTTGTCCATTTCATTTATAACGATTGCATAATTATTTTTTAAATATAGAAATTATTTAATTTTTTGTTAAGTTATTCGAATGATCCTCACATGTTCAATTTTTAAAAATGATTTTGCTTCTCTATTTGGATCAATGCTTAGATATTTGAAGTGGGATGTGTTACATGTGGATGCATTATAATTTTCACCAAAATTTTAGATAGCATCCTTCATTTAGATTTGATTGTGCAATTAAGAGCCTGTTTGATACAGAATTTTTTAGAATAAATTTTGTAAAATTATTCTATTAGAAATGAAAATGAATTTTAAATAATCTTTACCGAACATGAACTATATAAGATTAAGAATCAATTTCTTTTATAAAGGTTTGAAACCAATGTGCTTCTTGAGCAATAAATTAAAGACTAATAATACAATTTTTCCTCATTTTAAAAGACTAGGAACTCAATTTGTACGTAGTTGAGAAACGTTGAGTGGTGTAATTTTTACTTTTGGACGTAAGAAAAAAAAAAGATAGTTTTCACTAAAATGTTCTAATAAAAAAAAAGAAAATAATTTAACAAAATAATAGAAAAAGTACAAGAAGACATAAATTAGAAAATAAAGCCTAAGTTGAGAAATGGAAGTTGACACCCATTACCGAAAGTGTACTTCCAAGAAACTCCAAATAAAGTTGGTTTGTTGAATTGGACGACCCAAAAAAGGGTATGGAAGTTGACACATAAAGTAATAAAACTGCAAGTAGCACTCATTATCTTGGTGGATTTCTAGTAAAAAGTCGAATCTGGTCCTTAAGAAATGAATCGACACAATTTGTCACGAGTATCTTGTCTTTCTTTATTTGGACGGAGCGAAATTCTTGTACTCGACTCCGTCTCGCGAGAGGTATCATTTTGAGAATAATCGCTTTATTTTTCTTATTTTTTTACAAGACATATCATGTATAAATTATTAAAGAGAAAATTTCATAAATAAGAGATTAAGTATGACGTATTTCAAAAGTAAGAAACAAGGTTTAAAATTTAAAAATCAAAAATTAGTTAAATTTTATTTATATAATAATTAACTCCGTCTCGCAAGATTTATCATTTTGAGGATAATCGCTTTGTTTTTTCATATTAATGCTATCAAACACTATTGATGCTACAACACCGATTTAGGTGATATCAAGTGATGTGTTTTAATTAAAAATGAAATCGTGTAACTTATTTAATTATATTCCTTGTTCAATATCATTTAATGTCATTTAAATTGATATTATAAAACTAATGATATTAAATAACATTGCTTGCACTGAATTTTGGGCCGCCCCCAATTGTAAATAGTGGAAATTACACAAATTCAGGGGGTTAAACATCACAATTCAAAAATCAGCGTTGAAGTTTTATGGTGCAAAATCCAAGTATTGATTTAATAATTTAAATATTTATATTCACCCAATTCATCAATTTTGTAATCCCTAATAAGTTTACTGTGTGTTTTCTCTCTCTACCATCTCTATACACTATACTCTCCCTTCACTCTATCATAAAACGCCACCGTCGGTGGCGATTCACGACGACGGCGACATGGCACCTTTGGCGTCAAGGAAAGGCATCGGAGATGCAGCAATCGACTCCAGCTCCGGCGCCTCTGGTCGCGGATCCTTAGTTTTTTCGGTACACAAATCGAGCGATTAGTGGTTTTCACCAGCGCCGTTACATTTGCCTGATCCACCGCTTCTCTCTGCTCACGACGGCAAAGCAGATCCACCGAGCTACTGCACTTTTCCCTTCTCAAGTTGCGGTGATGAAACACACTGCGAAGAAGACCACCCAATCTGGTGTTGTGGGTTTGGATGATAATTTGTCTGGTATTGGTGATTGACTGATTGTGTTTGTGTGGTGGTGGTTTGCAGTGGTGGTGTGTTTTTGTATGAATTCATGACTCGGTCAATCCCTCAGCTGTGTTGATGTGATGGTGGTGGTGGTGGTGTGGTGTACAAGTTGCTGGTTTGTGTTGATTACGGTGTGTCCTTTTTGTTGGTAGTGGTACATTGTTGGGGTTGGTAATGGTGGTGGTGTCAGCGGCGAGATGGTGTTGACGGTTGTGTGGTGTTGTGGTGTGGTGCAGTTAGTCGTCGTGCTTTAGTGGTTGTTTTGGTTGTTGGTCGTGGTCGTGGTGGTGTTGTGACTGGGTGGGTGTAATACTAATTGGGACCAACTATTTGATTGCTCTGTGACCAAGTGTTGGTGGTGGATTGGGATCGAGGGTGGAGTGTTTGGTATATGTGATTAAGTGCTGGTAGTTGATTGTGTTTTGTTGCGTTTTTTAGGTGGTGGTGGCATCTGTGACCAACTAATTCAGAATTCATGACCAACTATTTAGGTTTCTGTGACCAAAAATTAGTGGTGGATCAGTAACAGGGATAGGGTATTTAGCGCATGTGACCAACTATTTTATTATTTGTGACTAATTATTTAACCGTGACCTTAAAATTCAATATTGTGACTAACAAATTGTTACCTATGTATCTTGTAAATATACTGTGACTTGTAATTTGAATGATTTTTTACCTCAAAATAATTCGTGACCTACAAGTTTTTTTATTTGTGACTACGAAATAATTTGTGATCAATTAATTTGATAATATGTGATTAGTAAATAAATTTGTAACCTATAATTACGAATTTGTGACCATTAATTATATAATTATGATTTTATTATATTTATTCAATAAATATTTTTAATTAATTGGATAAAAATCTGATTTTTGCATAATTAAACTTAACGCTTCATTTTTGAATTGTGCATAGTTAATACATGGATTGTGTATTTTTCCCTTGTAAATAGGCTGCAGCAGCCCAGACCCCAAGTTAAAAAAAAAAGGTCAAAAAAAAAAAAAAAAGTTGAAACGGGCCAAATAATTGGCCCAATTTTATAAACTAACGGTGGGTAAACGTGGGTTCCTGTTAGGCTTTTCCATATAATTTCAAGGCAGCCAACCTTCAATTAGAATATCCGTCCCTGCTGGCTTCAAAGTTCGACCCTCGACCTCTCATGTATCTTTATCTCTCTGCTGTGTTATGATGTAAACACTTCAAGCCTAAGGTAATTTCTCCATTACAGATCTCTTCGTTCCCTTTTTCTAGCATCAAATGTGGTATGGAATTTGATTTGGTGTAAGTTTTTCGGCCACCCCCAATTTCTTCTTCTTCTTTTTTTGGCGTCAAGATTTTACTGTGCTATAATGTTATTCTCAATTTCTTCTTCTTCTTTTTTTTGTCGTCAAGATTTTACTGTGTAGTAGTGTTATTCTCGATTTCTCATCTCATATTTGATTTAAAATTGATCTTTTTGTTGATTTCTTTATAATTATTATGTCCTATGTCCAATCAATTTTGGACATAAATACTTTTGATATATAATTAATACAATTTAATGGTAGATCTATTATTTAATTAAT